TTATAAATTATATCTTCCATAGCTTTGATCTAAGATTCAGAGTAAGGATGCTGTTGGGTTTAGAAGTATAAGAACTTTTGCTATTTGGCTACTCCCGTGCCGGCACCAGTCATTATAGATAAAACACTGCTGTAGTCATCCCAGCAAGTGACAGCAGCTGCTAGCCCCATTTGCAGAGGTCAGGTGGCCAACTCAGCCATGTGAGGACATGTTTCATTTTTAATTGGTAAACTGTATAAATAGAACAATTACTATTTTAAAAATGATAGACATGGTGACAGTGTGTACTCTATGTATCTTATTTACCTAACTAAGCAAGTAGAAGTTAACTTTCACATAGTCAGTCGGTTGTTTTAAATTGACAGTGTTGTTTTAATTTTTTAAGGTGTAGGTAGTAATGACATTAACTTTTTTTTTTTTTTTTTTTTTTTTTTTGATCTTTTTGAAACAGGGTTTCCCTGTAACCCAGCTGGCCTGGAACTCACTATTGTAAGGTTTAAAAAGCACTATAATATGTTGGAACAATTTACCTCTTATATTTTAAGATCTGAATATCTCTATACCCAGTAGGCTAAAACAATTCCATTTATTCATGTATATCAAAATAAGAAAATCAATTTTACTATATTCTGATAAGACAGATTCTTATGAAACAGACTTAATAAAACTTTTAAATTTCATTCTGTGTCTGCCATGTGTAACACTAATTACATTCTCTCTTTAGACAAGTGATTCCTTCTTTGAGGTTGAAGCCCTCATGGAAAAGATGAAGCAGTTACAGGAATGTCGAGATGAAGAAGAGGCAAGTCAGGAAGAGATGGCATCACGTTTTGAAATAGAGAAAAGAGAGAGCATGTTTGTCTTCTCTTCAGGTAAGAACAACCTGTACATAATCAATATACTTTCTCTTAAAACCCAACTTTTTATTTAGAGAATTTCAGTATGTTTTTAAAAATCAATCCAAATGTGACTTTCCTTTCAGGCAGGCTAGTTACATAAGCATGTCTACTTATAAATAATTTTTAAAGCAGGCAACTACAAAAATATGTGAAGATAGCACCAGACTAAAGAATGGAACATTTGGTATGGCTTGTAGTACTAAATTCAGTGCTAATAATCTTTGTAAACTTAGTAAGTCATTTATCGGAACAGCAACTTCCCCTTTTATCTCTTTTTTAAAAGATTCTTATTATTTTAATTTATGCGTATGGCTTATTGCCTGCATGTATGTAAGTGCACCTGTGTTGTGCAGTGCCCATGAAGGTCAGATAGAGGGCCTTGAATCCCCTGGAACTGGAATGATAGACGGTTGTTAGCCCCCATGTGGGTGCAGGGAACCAAACCCAGGTCTTCTACAAGAGCAGTCAGTGCTTTTAACCACTGAGCCATCTCTCCAGCCCTCTCCCCATCTCTATTTTTTTTTTAATTTTATTATTTGGGGGTGGGATACATGCCATGGCATGTGTGTGGTGGTCAGAGGACAACTTTCAGGAGTTGGTTCTCTTCTTCTCCCATGTAGGTCCCAGGGATCAAACTCAGGTTGTCAGGCTTGGCAACAAGTGCCTTTACCCGCTGAGCAATCTCACAAGCCCATAGTCAATTTTAATAGTTGTTATTATCACTTAATTATTATTCAAGTGGGGTATTCTCACTTAGAGTTCATACTTTTGTGATCCTAAAATATATAAATTGTGACAGAAAGACAGAGAAAAGGTCTGTCAAAGGGGGAAATAAAAAGCATAAGACTTCTATGAATGTTTGATAACAGAGAATCTTGTTTTGCTACATTCTATTTTCTGATAAGCAAGCTACTTGTTTATATCAAGAGTTTATTTTGGGGAGGGGATGAAGTTGGTAGGGTGCTTGCCTAGTATACAAATTTCCATTCCCAGCACCCATAAACTAGGCATGATGCCTATAATTTTAGTACAAAGGAGGTGGAGGTGGGAAGATAAGTTCAAAGTCACCCTTAGATACGTAGCAAGTTTGATGCTAGTTATTTAGTGTCAAAGAATGGATTATCTTATGTTTATTTGTTAGGAGTAAAATGAGTTTTTATTAGCATCCTGTTTTCAAAAAGCTTTTAATGATTTTGTTTTCTTTAAAAAAAAAAAAAAACATTTTAGATGATGATGAAGTTACACCAGCAAGAGATGTGTCTCGTCACTTTGAGGATACTAGTTATGGCTATAAGGATTTCTCTAGACATGGGATGCATGTTCCAACATTTCGTGTCCAGGTAAAATTGTAACTTGTATACACATAGTTGATTAGAAATACCTCACTATGATTTGAGAACTGTGTTCAGTACTTAGCAGGTAGTATCTACTTAACAACAGTAGCTCTATCCTCTAGTTCCAGAATGAAAGTTAAGAATTAATTCTGCACTCTTAATTTTGTAAAGACTGTTTTCAGTTAATGAGCAGAATTATGCTGTAATTTAAATATGTCTTAAATTTATTAATATTTAATTTAGATAAATAATG